GGCCTAATCTTTAGGTCTTTGATCCATTTTGAGTTTATTTTGGTGTGTGGTGAAAAAGACTGGTCAATTTTCAATTTTTTGCATGTGGCTGTCCAGTTTTCCCAGCACCATTTGTTGAAGAGACTTTCTTTTCTCCATTGTAGGCCCTCTGCTCCTTTGTCGAAGATTAGCTGTCCATAGATGTGTGGTTTTATCTCTGGGCTTTCAATTCTGTTCCATTGATCTGTGGACCTGTTTTTGTACCAGTACCATGCTGTTTTGATCACTGTAGCTTTGTAGTATGTTTTGAAATCTGGGATTGTGATTCCGCCGGCTTTGTTTTTCTTGCTCAGGATTGCTTTAGCAATTCGCGGTCTTTTGTTGCCCCATATGAATTTTAGGATTGTTTGTTCAATATCTGTGAAGAATGTTCTTGGGATTCTGATTGGGATAGCATTGAATCTGTATATTGCTTTAGGTAGTATGGACATTTTAACTATGTTTATTCTTCCAATCCATGTGCAAGGAATGTCTTTCCATCTCTTTATGTCATCGTCAATTTCTTTCAAGAAAGTCTTGTAGTTTTCATTGTATAGATCCTTCACTTCCTTGGTTAAGTTTATCCCAAGGTATTTTATTCTTTTCGTTGTGATTGTGAATGGGATTGAGTTCTTGAGTTCTTTTTCTGTTAGTTCATTGTTAGTGTATAGAAATGCTACTGATTTATGCACGTTAATTTTATACCCTGCTACTTTGCTGTAGTTGTTGATTATTTCTAATAGTTTTTCTGTGGATTCTTTGGGGTTTTCTATATATAAGATCATGTCGTCTGCAAACAACGAGAGTTTTACTTCTTCGTTACCTATTTGGATTCCTTTTATTTCTTTTTCCTGCCGAATTGCTCTGGCCAGCACCTCCAGTACTATGTTGAATAGGAGTGGTGAAAGTGGGCACCCTTGTCTTGTTCCTGTCCTCAGAGGGATGGCTTTCAGTTTTTGTCCATTGAGTATGATGTTGGCTGTGGGTCTATCATATATGGCCTTTATTATGTTGAGGTACTTTCCTTCTATACCCACTTTACTGAGGGTTTTTTATCATAAATGGGTGTTGGATCTTGTCGAATGCTTTCTCTGCATCTATTGAGATGATCATGTGGTTTTTGTTTTTCATTTTGTTGATGTAGTGTATCACGTTGATTGACTTGCGGATGTTGAACCATCCCTGTGTCCCTGGTATAAATCCCACTTGATCATGGTGTATAATCTTTTTGATGTATTGCTGTAATCGGTTTGCCAAAATTTTGTTGAGGATTTTTGCATCTATGTTCATCAGTGATATCGGCCTGTAGTTCTCCTTCTTTGTGTTGTCCTTGTCAGGTTTGGGGATCAGGGTGATGTTGGCTTCATAGAATGTGTTAGGGAGTTCTCCATCTTTCTCAATTTTCTGGAACAGTTTGAGGAGAATAGGTATTAAGTCTTCTTTGAATGTTTGGTAGAATTCTCCAGAGAAGCCATCTGGTCCTGGACTCTTATTTTTGGGGAGGTTTTTGATTACCGTTTCTATTTCCTTACTTGTGATTGGCCTATTCAGATTCTCCATTTCTTCCTGATTCAGTTTGGGGAGATTGTAGGAGTCTAGGAATTTGTCCATTTCTTCCAGGTTGTTCAATTTGTTGGCATATAGTTTTTCATAGTATTCTCTTATGATCTCTTGTATTTCATTGGTATCTGTTGTGATTTCTCCTCTGACATTCCTAATTTTATTAATTTGCGCTTTCTCTCTTCTTTTCTTGGTGAGTCTGGCTAGGGGTTTGTCAATTTTGTTAATTCTTTCGAAGAACCAACTCTTTGTTTCATTGATCCTTTCTATTGTCTTTTTTGTTTCAATATCGTTTATTTCTGCTCTTATTTTTATTATTTCCCTCCTTCTACTGACTCTGGGCTTTGTTTGTTCTTCTTTTTCTAGTTCTGTTAGGTGTCGTTTGAGGTTGCTTATGTGAGCTTTTTCTTGTTTAGTGAGGTGGGCCTGTATTGCGATGAATTTCCCTCTTAGGACTGCTTTTGCTGCATCCCAAATGGTGTGTTGAGGTCCCATTCTCATTTTCATTAGTCTCCAGATAAAATTTGATTTCTTCTTTAATTTCTTCAATGATCCATTGTTTGTTGAGAAGCGTGTTGTTTAGTCTCCACATTTTTGCACCTTTCTCTGCTTTTTTCTTGTAGTTGATTTCTAGTTTAATAGCATTAGGATCAGAAAAGATGCTTGATATTATTTCAACTCTCTTGTATTTATTGATGTTTGCTTTGGTTCCCAAAATATGGTCAATCCTTGAGAATGTTCCATGTGCACTTGAGAAGAATGTGTAACCTGCTGTTTTTGGATGAAGTGTTCTATATATATCTATTAAGTCCATCTGGTCTAATTTTTCATTTAATTCTATTATTTCCTGGTTGATTTTCTGTCTGGATGTTCTGTCCATTGGTGTTAATGGTGTGTTGAGGTCCCCTACTATTATTGTATTGTTGTTGATGTCTTCTTTTAGTTCTATTAAGAGTTGCTTTACAAATTTTGGTGCTCCTGTGTTGGGTGCGTATATATTTATAAGTGTTATGTCTTCTTGGTGGAGAGTCTCTTTTATCATTATATACTGTCCCTCTTTGTCTTTCTTTATCTGTTTTGCTTTGAAATCTACCTTGTCTGATATTAGTATAGCGACATCTGCTTTCTTTTGTTCATTATTAGCTTGGAGTATTGTTCTCCATCCCTTCACTCTGAGTCTGTGTTTGTCTTTGGGGCTGAGGTGTGTTTCCTGGAGGCAGCATATTGTTGGATCTTGTTCTTTGATCCATCCTGCCACTCTGTGTCTTTTGATTGGGGAGTTCAATCCATTTACATTTAGAGTGATTATTGAGATGTGGGGGCCTACCACTACCATTTTGTGTCTTGTTTTCCGCTTTTCTTCAGTTTCCTTTGTTTCTCGTCCCATGGTTTAATCTGTTCTGATGTAGAGCTGCTACTCTCTGTTGTTGTCCTTCTACTTATCTCCTCTGCTCTTGGTTTTGTAGCCCCTTTCCTTTTTTTGATTTTTCAGGACTGAGGGTTTTCCTGAGGATTTCCTGAAGAGGAGGTTTTGTGGCAATGAACTCCCTTAATTTTTGTCTATCTGCGAAAGTTTTTATTTCTCCATCGTATTTGAAGGATATTTTCGCTGGGTAGAGAATTCTCGGCTGTAGATTTTTGTCCTTCAGATTTTTGAATATATCATTCCACTCTCTTCTAGCCTGTAAAGTTTCTGCTGAGAAATCTGCTGATAGCCTGATGGGGGTTCCTTTGTAGGTTAGTTTCTTTAGCCTGGCTGTCCTTAGTATTTTCTCCTTGTCGTTGACTTTTGCTAGCTTCACTACTATATGGCGTGGAGTTGGTCTTCTTGCATTGATAAAGTTTGGAGATCTATTGGCTTCTGTCACCTGAAGATCCATCTCCCTCACCAGATTTGGGAAGTTCTCAGCCATTATTTCTTTGAATAGGCTTTCTGCCCCTTTCTCCTTCTCTTCTCCCTCTGGTATACCTATAATCCTTATGTTGCATCTCCTAATTGTATCTGATAATTCTCGGAGAGTTTCTTCATTTCTTTTTAGTCTTGCTTCTCTCTCCTCCTCTGCCTGCAGCAATTCTATATTGCCATCTTCCAAATTGCTAATTCTTTCCTCCATATTATCGGCCCTACTGTTCAGAGCATCTAGATTTTTCTTAATCTCCTCTATTGTGTTCTTCATTTCCAATATTTCTGTTTGGTTCTTCTTTATCGTATCAAACTCTTTTGTGACATAGCTCCTGAACTCGTTGAGTTGACAGTCAGAACTCTCTCTTAACTCGTTGAGAATTTTAATGATGGCTGTTTTGAAGTCATCATCATTTAGGTTATATATCTCATTTTCTTTGGGATTGTTTTCTGTGTATTTGTTACTTTCTTTCTGTTCTGGAGATTTAATGTATTTTTTCATATTGCTTGATGTTGTTGATTTGTGCCTCCGCATGGAGATAGAGTTTAGTTGCTCCTTTCACTTGTTTCAGCTGCTGCGGTGGGGGAGCAGCTGTTTATACTGCACCAACCAGGAACCCTGTCCGCAGTTGCTAACTGGGCCTGGGCCCCTCCTCGTAGCCACAGTGGCCCTTTGGATTCCCTCCTCTGCTGTGGGGGCCGTCACAGGGAGGCTTCAGGCTGCTGGTGCCTACTGTTGCAGCCCACCTAGATGTGCTCTCTCCTTGGGGTCTGCAACGGTGTTATGGGCTTTTCCAGCGGCCAGGGGTGGGATCACTTATATTTGTCGCTCCGTTGCTGTCGGCACCCACAAAATCTCACTTGTCCTCTATGGGTCGCAGGAGAGCTGTTGGCATCTTCTACAGTCTGTGGTTAGTTCACCTAGCTATGCTGCTTTTGCCCTGGGGTCTTCCAGCCTTGTGGCTGGTGGCTGAGTGCCTTCTACTGGTGCTGTGCAGAGGCTTTCCCTAAGGCTGCTGTGAGCCTGTAGGGTTTCCCCCTAGGCTACGAAGCTGGGTCTCTGGAATTCCCCCCAGCCCCAGTCCTCTCCGAGATCTCCGGCTATCCCTAGTCCCACGGGGCGGGCAACAGCAGCTGGGGGTCGCCCCGCCCTCTGGGATTCTCTCTGGGCCTCTCCCGGAGCCGTGAATGCTCGGCGTGGCCCCTCTGCTAATGGCAGACAGAGAGTTTTGTCTGCTGCCCGGCCGGAACTCCCGCGCTTCCCCTCCGGGTTGCAGAGCCGGCCTTTGAAAGTTCCCCCAGCCCCGGTCCTCTCTGAGATCTCCGGCAATCCCTAGTCCCACGGGGCGGGCAACAGCAGCTTGGAGACCTCCGTACCCTCAGCGACTCTCTCTGGGACCCTCCGGGCGCCGCGAACACCAGTCGGGGTCTCCTGAACCTTTTTTTTTTTAAACATTGGCACCTGCGCTAACATTTGTTGCCAATATTCTTTTTCCTTTTCTTCTTCTTCTCCCCAAAGCCCCCCAGTACCTAGTTGTATATTCTAATTGGGAGTGCCTCTGGTTGTGCTATGTGGGATGCTGCCTCAGCATGGCCTGATGAGCAGTGCCATGTCCCCGCCCAGGATCCGGACCGGCAAAACCCTGGGCCACCAAAGCGGAACGCGCCAGCTTAACCACTCGGCCACCAGGTAGGCCCCTGAAATATTGTTTTAATTGAATGAAATATGCTTTGTTAAATCTAGGTGATGGAAGTTTATGAGACTGTTCTCTCTATTTTTCTGTGTATTTCTTAACGGTTGGCACCTGAGCTAACAACTGTTGCCAATCTTCCTTTTCTTTTTTTTCTACTTTTTCTCCCCAAATCCCCCCAGTACATAGTTGTACATTTTAGTTGTGGGTCCTTCTAGTTGTGGCCTGTGGGACGCCACCCAAGCATAGCCCGGCAAGTGGTGCCATGTCCATGCCCAGGATCCGAACCAGTGGAACCCTGGACTGCCGAAGCGGCGCACAAAAACCCAACCACTTAGACACAGGGCTGGCCCCTTTTCGGTGTGTTTCAAAAGTTTATTGAAAAGAGTAAAACATACTCACATGGATTGTCCAATTCATTCACTTCCAGGGTATTCTCCCAGCACAGATGACGCCTTGACTGAGAGTCATGGTAAACCTCCAGGAAGCCCTAGCCCAGAATGGGGAGGGAGCATCTTGATACTGTGCCTCATCAAAGAGAACCACGCATGCAGGATCTTGGATGATGAGGAGGCTTGGCCAACCCATGTCAAGGATGGTTGAGGCACAGTGGGGGCACAGGAGGAGCCCTGGGAGAATGATAGGAGGTGGCTCACCCCAGCACTTGTCTCCCCAGACCTCCCCTTCTGGGCCTTCTTCCTCATCTTCTTAGTGGGACTCCTGGTGCTCATCACATGCCTGATCTGCTGTCTCTGGTAAGCAAGAAGCTGTTGCTTGTCTTCTTACTATTGCATTGTAAAAGCTCTTTATATATTAAATATACAGTGCTTTGCTACGGATATGTTTTGCAAAATTTTCTCCCAATCTCTGTGTGGCTTGCCTTCTCCTTTTCTTTTTTTTTTTTTTTTAAAGATTTTCTTTTTTCCTTTTTCTCCCCAAATCCCCCCGGTACATAGTTGTGTATTCTTCGTTGTGGGTTCTTCTAGTTGTGGCATGTGGGACGCTGCCTCAGCGTGGTCTGATGAGCAGTGTCATGTCTGCGCCCAGGATTCGAACCAACGAAACACTGGGCCGCCTGCAGCGGAGCGCACAGACTTAACCACTCGGCCACGGGGCCAGCCCCTGACTTTTCCTTTTCTTAACAACATCAGTCATTGTGGAAATGTAAGTGAAAGTCATCGTGAGATTCCACCACACCTGAGAATGGCTAAAATTAAAAACACTGACTGTAGCAAGTGTTGGGGAAGATGTCAGGCAACTCTCATAGAGTGCTGGAGAAGAATAGCTTGGATGCATTTTTAATAATTATATTCATTTACCCAGGCATTTCACTCCTAGGAATCCATCCAAGGGGAATAAAAACATATGTCTGTACACAGACTTGTACACACGTTCACAGGAACTTTATTTATACTAGCCAAAACTGGAAAACAACCCAAATGTCCATCAACAGGTCAATAAATAAACACACTGTCCCACAGTGGCATATTATTCAGCCATAAAAAGGAATGCATTCTGCATACGTGCAATGACATGCAGAAATCTCAAAATTACTATGCTGAGTGAAAGAAGCCAGATAAAAATGAGCACATAGTGTGTGATCCCATTTATAAACACCTCCTAGAAAATGCAAGCAAATCTATAGGGACAGATATCAGATCAGTGGTTGCCTGGGAATGAGAATATGTTTGCAAAGGGCAGGGAAGGAGGAATTACAAAGGAGCATGAGGAAATTTGGCGAGGGTGGGCATTCCTTGTCTTTTTTTTTTTTTTAAGATTTTATTTTTCCCTTTTCTCCCCAAATCCCCCTGGGAAATAGTTGTATATTTTTAGTTGCGGGTCCTTCTAGTTGTGGCATGTGGGACGCCACCTCAGCATGGCCTGATGAACGGTGCCATGTCCGCGCCCAGGATCTGAACCAGCAAAAAACCCTGCCCCGCTGAAGTGGAGTGTGCAAACTTAACCAGTTGGCCACCAGGCCGGCCCCCTTGTTTTGATTGTTGTGATGGTTCAGTAAGTTCTAATCAAAACTGATCAAGTCATTCACTTTAAATGTATGCAGTTTATTAGATGTCATTAATACTTCAATTAAGCTAGAGCTTGTTGGAGGTAGAGAGGAAGAGAGAACTGAAAGTAGGAAAAGGGAAGGAAAAGAAGGACCAAGAGAGAAAAATTAAGGGGAAAAAAGGAAGAGAGAGACGACAAGCATCGGGTGTCTGTGGCTTTGGGATCTCCTTCCCCTGGAGTCTCCCGCATCGGGCAGCGGACTGGTCCATTCTGATGCCCGCTGCTCCCCTCACAGCTCACCGTCTGCCTGTGGAAGAAGGAGGGCGACTACGAGGTACAGCGACAACGCCTGGGCTATTACCTGCCCTACCTTGACCTGCAGCAGCTGCGATGACTAGATCTGCCTGAGACCCCCTTTTCCCAGCCGGGGTCCAGAGGAGCTTGGCTGGAACAGAAATAAACCACATTGGTCAGACACAGCCTCTGAGCCTCTCTAGATGTGGCCCCTGACTGGCTCACAGGGGACTAAGATAAAATGTTTCCCCTCCTTAAGTCCTGAAGGCAATTGCAACTTCTGTCCTGTGGTTTCACACCATTGCATCCCTCAGGGACACCAGAATTGGTGAAACTGGCACAGACATTGCTATCATGTAAAATCAAATCCCCACTTCAGTGCGAGGTTTCCCTTTTAGGCAACGTTGGAGCACCCCTCCCCTTGCCTCTGTGCCAGCCATCACACCCCTCTCAGTTGTTCTGTATTTTCCCATGCCCTTGAAGCCTTGGCAGTCTCAGGTTTCCAATATCTGCTTCATTCTCTGAAGCTCAGGTTCACCAGGACTTCCAGATCCATCTGCCTCGGTGGCTCCTCTCCCTGCTCATAGGTCCTTCAAGATGGGAAACAGGCCAAGATGGAAGGAGTGGGTCAGACGTGACTCTGCAGTCACCTTGGGACCTGGGAACTGAAATGACTATGTGTCTGGGAAGCCTGAATCCCAGAGTAACACCAAGGCTCTAGAAGGAGAGTGTCTGCTTTGGATGTAAAAATGAATAAAACTCTGCTGTAAAAATCTGAGAGAAGAGAAAGGCACCCTTTTTTGCATCTATCCCTGCACAGAATCCAACCAGACTTACAGCAGGGGTTCCCCAACAAGCAGCCCAGAGCATCCCAGGCGTGAGGCAGGCTGCACTGTCCTGTGGTGGGTTTGCAGGAATCAATTATTTCAACTGTACACGCTTTGCAGACCACAGCTGAAGCTCCCCAAGGGCTAAGAATTCAAATCACTGTCATGCCAACTGCTCAGACTTTCTGGTGTGAGCTTCACATTCTCGATCTTAAGTAGTCATTCTCCTAGAGTGCACTCTCTGAAGATTATAATAATGATAATAGCTATCATTATTGAGTACTTAATATCTGCTAAGGAATGTGACTCAAAGTTCTGTGTGTATTAGCTTAGTTACATTCACCATTTTATGGTTTTATTCCCATTTTGTAGCTAAAGAAATGGAGTGTCAGAAATATTAAATCTCTTAATAAGGAAGGAAAAAACTAAAATAAACTAACTTAAACATCTAGCCAAACTCTGTCAAAGAAAGAGATAAAGACGTTTTCTAACATACAGACAGACTCAAAGTTGACCTCCCACAGGCCTTCAGTGAAAGAACCGGTAAAGAGTATACATCAGGAAGAAGAAATGTGAACCCAGAAAAACAAAGCAGTCATGAGGAAAGGAAAAAATAGTGTATCTAATCTGGAATTTGTTTTAAAACAAGACATTAACGTCTTCTTACTAACATCCCAGATGATTACCACATGGGAGAATTGAGGAGAGAAGATTCACTTAAAAAATAGCTCGTTTTCAAGGGAAGATGTAAATAATAAGACACTCCATTATTGTTTAACACATCACTCCCAGAAACTAATAACTTTGTCAGACATGAGAAAGTAATGATAAACAGCATGCGAATAATACGACAGGCTTGATCAGGCCGATCGACAAGTCCCGACACACAGTGGCTTGTTCTTAGACTCATGATGCTGAAAATAGTCTTTCTCTTGATAGAAAGATGCCAAATGACATGTCAAGTTTGCAACACATACAGATCTAAAAATGAGGGGATGTCTGAGATTCATCATATGGAACTGAATCAATGTGCAACAAAGAGCGGAAATGCAGAGCTCTCAAAGTGGATATCTTGTTGGAGAACACAGATGTAACAGCTCTTTAGTGAAATATTATGTTGGAATCTAGTGGAATATTACACAAACAGGAGAATCCATTCTGACTACGTAGGTTTTACTCTGTGACTGTGAGGGCAAAACTCTAAAGAATCCCATGACTTTGATAACTCTCTGTTGACCTTAAAATACAAATAAATAACATACTTACAAAAGGAAAATGAGAGAACATGAAAAGGAAAGATCTCCTTTCTCTCATCACCTGAAACCCAATCTCTTGCCTCAAAAAAATCACTGTCTGTATCTTCTATGTCATGCAAAAGAATTGAGTAAAAGGAAAGTATTGTTATATTTTAAAGTTTCAAGAGCTCAAAGCGAGAAAACATTAGGAACACTAGAGAGGCATTAATGTAGTGTGGTGCTCCACATCATCTGCACCATCTTCTGTTTTTTTCATAGTGTTTGTCAGGACGTCCATCTTGGGCCCTCACTTTCTCTGCCTCGCCAGCGAGTCTATCTGCAATCAGTGCCATCGCCAGTCTCTCTCTTGCCATCTTCACTTTCCCTTCCTGTTTCCTGATGTCTTCCTCAGTCACCAAAAATTGTTTGCAGAGGAGCTGTGGAACGCCCATACCAGCTCCTGGAATCATCTCTGCAAAATCTGAAGACCCGGAAGGGGTGGGCATGGGACTGGAGTTCAGACCACCCGTGAGCACGCCTGGCAGGGATGCACCTGTGCAACTGGGTGTAAGGTTGTGCAAGGCTTTGGCAAGATCCAGAGGGCTTAACAGTTCCCCTGCGCTGCTGCAGGCCTGCAGTCCTTGCAGTCTCTTCTGCCAGCAGACTTGTTGGGGCCGCTCCAAGGTTTCCTCCCATTGATGGCATCTGACCTCATTGCCGGGATGGGATGTGATTCTAGTAACTGGCCTCTGGAAGATGTAACTGGACAGCCTCAAAGGGATGGAGGTGCTTAACCCAGGCTTTGGTTTGGATTGGTTCCCACAGTCATGTTGCTTCCTCTGTGCAGACTTCACCATCATACTTCTTTTCCTCTTACCCTATAAAAATTAATCACAAAATTGGATCAAAGTGATAAATGAAGCTTGCCTTCACAGAAAAATTATCCCAGATGTGTTGTACTTCTGCCCTCCCTCTCTCACTGTGGGGATTAACCTCACCTGTCTCCTGGGACATCATCAAAGAGATTGGGATGAAGAACAGAAAGCTCACGGTCAAAACTCAAGACTACTCCAGATTATTTCTCGTCCACCATCTTCTAGGACTCTCTCCTTTATGTGTATGACTTTACTCTCTTGCTGTCCTTGTCACTCAACTGCACAAGCCCTGGAAGTCTCTCTCAGGACGCACAGTCCTGAGTCTTTTTCTGAATCGAATCCCATCGTTCTTCTATGCTATATGACTGTTCATTTGGTTACCCCATGGACCACTTGGTGTTCATAGCTCCTATAGAGCTTAAATCAATAGTGAAATTATCATCCACCCCACACCTAGTGACTCACTCTCATTTCCCAGATGTTTCCATCAACCCAAGTGGGCATGTTCAAAAATAAATTCAGAAAACATATTCACCTACCACAAATTCCTGATTTCCATTTTTTTTTACTCACTCCTAAGAGTAGATGCCTGTTCCTCAAGACCAAAGTGATGCCAGATGTCCATATCTTCACCTTAATTTCTCTTCTTTTCCTATCAATCCTGGATTCCATGGTCTATGATCTCAATAATTCCCTTGGAATGATCCAGAATTCCTTACCACTCATCATATATGCCTTGTAAAACTTCGAACCCAGAAGATCCCAATTATCTGCCATATCTTAGCTACTGCTGGTCTCATGATACTTGCTACGAAAAGCATAATGTTGGTACCACTATATATCAAAATCACCCGCATTAACTGGGAAACATCCATAATGTCTGGACATTTTACTTTCTTTTCATGTGTTGGCATATTTACTCCTTGATTTTCACATGCTTGTTTCAAATATTCCCCACATTTCTTTTTACTTAATACACGTTCAGGGTCCCTTAACTTGCCTGATATTTCACAGGGAAATTGCTGTCTCTGTTTCTTCCCCTCAGTTGAGAACCATTGAGAAAAGGTCATCTACATGATGTGTCTCTGAGGCCTCACCTCCAGCTACCTCCACAGACCACCCCACACTCCATCTGTCCTCACCATTCTATGGCTGCTCGCCTGGTAAGGTCACAATGACTCCTTTGTTACTAGACCCAATAGGAATTTTTCATTAATTACCAACATGATCTTCATGTGTAAAACTCTTAAGTATGTTTAGAACAACCTAGACACGTAAGTCGTATTTTACAACTGTGAACATTAAATCTTAATACAGAGAATGTTTATCTGAAAAAAATTCAACTTACAAATGAAGATTGTGCTGTAAATGGAAAGTACAAGCTGGATTTGGGGAACCCAGTAAAAAATGTAAGCTATCTCATTATTAATTTTTATATAGACTGCATGCACAAATGATAATATCTTGGTTATAATAGGTTAAAATAGACTCTTAAAATTAGTTTCACCTGTTTCTTTTCACTTTCTTAAATGCAAGTTCAAAGAAAAATTTAAATTCCTTGATGTAGAGAGCTTCATGCTACTATTGGACTGCACTGGTCAAGCCATGAGTGAAAATAAAGCCCAGAGAAAGTGGTTAGAAAAATGTTTTCCCAAGAAAAAAGGAGTTGGCCCTGGCCCACACAGCAGGGTGCAGCAAACACTCATACGCGCGCCCACGCGTGCACACACACACACACACACATTCTTACAAAATGAAACCAACATCATCCTAGAGTCCAGCTACTAGTCTCAAAAGGAAAGAGGCTACACTCCTACATTGTCCTAAGTGGACTAATCTCAAGGAGGAAGTCCGAAGTCAAGAAAATTCACCAATTAGGAATGGCTTAAAGCAGAGAGTAAAGGTCAAGGTTTTTTTGTGAATTTTCCGTGATGGTTTTTGTTATTAATTCAATATGTTAGGGAGACTTTCTCAAGGAGGGTTGTTTTAAAACTCACTTTTTCTTTACTATGTAAAAATACACAAGATATGTAAAGAATAAAAACTCTAACCAATCAAAGACAAGGAGATGATAGAACACGAATACTATTATTATAAATCCACTGAATTAGAGAGTCAGTCAGGAAATTGATAAATTTGGTTTAATGTGGACCTCATTAGACTGATCCTGATTTCATGACCACCATGTTGATTGTATTATGCTAGGACCTATGAAATGTGCCAGCCTCCCCTGCTATTTAACCACCAAGGGCCACCAACCAGCCCAGTCCTTGCTGATGAATCCCGACTCTGTCTCTTCTACAACACCTGGGGGATTGTCCCCAAATCCCACTCTGCCACTGCTCTCTTCTTCTTGCCCCAGGCAAGGGAAACATTTTATCCAAGGCTCATGCTCTCTGTGTGCCTAGTTCTGGAGATAACCTTTCTCCCTTGAGTGGAGAAAAAGACCAGATTGCAGACCCTGTGAGATGCAGAAATTGGACAAGGACTGGGGTTTGCTGACAGAGAAGAGACCTTTTAGTGGACATAGTTAGGGGGGCCCAGGGAGCCCCAGCGATTCCTCCAAGGAAGACGATGCAGGACACAGCAGGTGTGTCTGGGTGTGATTCTGCTTGGGAGTGCCTGTAGGATGACGTAGGGGACGTTGGTAATCCATTCACCAACAGTGTTCATTTGTTTGTTCACTGTATGTCATGGAGCGCTTCCTACATACACCCAGGCACTAGTCTTACCCTCTGGGGCTTACAGACAGTGTCAGAAGAATTTTTAAATTGTATTTATAATATGTAGATAACAGCACTGTGATATGCTAGGTGTTCAAGGTATTTTTCAAACATTAACTCCTTTAGTACTCTCCATGACCTTACAAAGTAGGTACGCTTATCCTTACTGTCAACTGACAGATGAAGAAACTGAGGTACCAACAAGGTAAGTAACTTGCCCAATACAAATAACCAGTAAGCAATTGAGCTGGGATTTGAAGATAAGATGTTGGTGCCATAGTCTGTGCTCTTAATCATGATATTTGCTCTCTAAAGACTTCACATCATGGAAAAAATTGATCAGTTTATCCATTTTCTTGGCACATCCAATAATCTCTTTGGATAATTGATTTCAAGTTCTTTGGATAGATACGCAGTAGTGGGATAGCTGGATCATATGGTATTTCTATTTTTAATTTTTGGGAAATCTCCACACTGTTTTCCATAGTGGCTGTACCAGTCTTCATTCCCACCAGCAGTGTATAAGGGTTCCCTTCTCTCCCCCTCCAGAACTTGAAAGTCAAACTCTATCAGAAGCAAAGGGGTCCTTCATTCAGGAAGATCCAGTGTTAAAATTCCTTCCCACGTCATCAGAAATGTTTAGAATCCTGTCATAAAAAGTTTGGAACCTCATAGAAATGTTTAGAACCCTGTCAGAAATGTTTGAAACCTCACCATAATAGCTTGAAGCCCACCAATCAAAACCTGCCTCACCAGCATTTCTGTGTGCCATCCTGTTCCCCCTAATCTCTTAAATTTCACCCCAAATCCTGAATCAGGGAGACAGATCTGTGGGCACACGCCCCTGTTCTCCCTGCAGATGGATCTCACAGAATAAAGCCCATCTCCTTTCCCAAAGGCTGGTACTGCATTTAATTGGCTTATGTGCATCCGGCCAGTGAACCCCAATTTTGTGTGGTAACAAAGGCATAGATAATATTGCAGGAAAGTTCATTAAACTTTCAAGGAAGAGATAATCTCCTTTGCATATTGTTTGTTTTAGAAAGTAGAAGAAGGAGGAAAACTACCCAGCTCTTTTTAAGCAAACTGAACCTCAAATAAGAGAAGGCTAACACAAGGAAAGTATAAGCAAATTCCACACACACCCGTACGTGTGTGTATATATGTGTGTATCTAAAAAAAATTAGCTAACAGAAGCAAAAAGTGTATCAAAATTCGAAAAAGAAAAACCTTACAATCACATGGATTTCATCCCATGAGTAAAAGCTAAAATGTAATTCACCACATTAATGAAAGCATGGAGAAAATTATATACATGTAGAAAAGTACTTAACAAAGATTAACACCATTTTTTACACTAAAAAGCCTCAGTAAAATAGGAATACAAGAGATCTTCCTCAAGAAAACATTGTACTTAACAGCAAAATGTTAGAGAAAGTGCCCTTAAGCAGTGATACTGTTCAACAAAATACAAGAAAGTAAGTTTATGATTATATGAGTTCAAGTAAGACATTTCCTAATGCTTTTCAGTATCCTCCTCACTACCCTCTTAGTCCCTAGCAGAGTGAAAAACTGGCTATCGTGTTATAGATGGAGGAATGAGAGAAAAGCCAAGCCAGAAAAATGGAAGTCTGTAAAGCCCCCTTTTCCTGTCCAGGCTTCTAGCTTCAAGTAGATTTGAGATGAGTGAGGGGCAGGCAGGTAGAAAAGACTTAGTATTAGATTAAGTTTGGCTTTTTTTTTTTTTTTTTTTTTGAGGAAGATCAGCCCTGAGCTAACAACCACTGCCAATCCGCCTCTTTTTTTGTTGAGGAAGATTGGCCTTGAGATAACGTCTGTGCCCATCTTCCTCTACTTAAATGTGGGACACCTGCCACAGCATGGCTTGATGAGCCGTGCTATGTCCTAGCCCAGGATCTGAACCAGCAAATTCCAGGCTGCCAAAGCAGAGTGTGTGAACTTAACCACTACACCACCGGGCCGGTCCCTAAGTTTGGCGTTTTGATTAGTATCTTGGATGGGATATTCTAATTGCTGAATTGATACTGTTTAGTGACTTCGTAACTTTAGGGTTATTTTAAGCCAGAAAATGCAAGACTTGAATAAAGCTTGAAAGGATAGTGGGAGATAAAAAACAAAAGCAAAACAAGCTGGCTTTTCATCCTGACCAGTTGTGCATTCATTGTGCCGTTCACACATAAAAATCCAAAAGGAATTAATGAAAAGTTCCGTTAGCATTAAAAAGACAGTTCAATGGAGCTCCCAAATACAAGATCAATCTCAAAGGAACCCAGTAGCATTCTTCTACATCAGCAATCACTAACTGGAAAATATGATAGAACACTTAAAAACTCTATTAAAAAATATAAATTAAAGTCTATTAATTTAGTTCACATTTTATTTTGAAATAACTATAGACTATAGAAGTTGCAAAAATGGCACAGAGAAGTTTTTTTTTGTTTTAAGATTGGCACCTGAGCTAACAACTTGCCAATCTTTTTTTTTTTTTTTTTTTTGCTTTTTCTCCCAAAATCCCCCCAGTAGATAGTTGTATGTTTTTTTTTAGTTGTGGGTCCCTATAGTTGTGGCATGTGGGACGCCGCCTCAACGTGGCCTGACAAGCGCTGCCATGTCCACACCCAGGATCCGAACCGGGGAAACCCTGGGCCGCTGAAGCAGAGCACGCGAACTTAACCACTCGGCCATGGGGCCGGCCCCTGGCACAGAGAAGTTTCATGTAACCTTTACCGAGTCTTTACCAATGGTCCCAACTTGACATTGACATAGAACCATTAACTCATTCAGATTTCACCATAAAACACCGCTGAATTATATAAAAGAAGATCTCAGTAAAGGTAAAAAAGAGAACATATTGTACACCAGACAGCCAAAGAAACAAAAAAATTACAATCTGACAAACCCGTATCCACACTTTTTCTGATTCTCCTTACCCAACTTTACTTCTTGTTTTTGTCCCATATAACTTATCTCCCAACATTGTGTAGATTTTACTTATGTTACAACTGTCATCTATGGACTGTCTTCTCTAGAATGTAACCTTCCTCAGTTCGATCTTTGTCTGGGTTTTTCACTCATGCATACTAAACCCCTAGTATTGGGCCTTGTGCATGATAGGTGCTCGATAAATGTTTGTTGAAAGATGCTGTCCTTAACTACTGTTTTTCCATCACCCGACAACCAATCCATCGATATATTCTCTCCATTCTTGTTCCCAAAACATTTTGGATGCATTCAGTTCTCCATTTCCCTGTCATTCGCTCCCTGCTCCGTGTCACCATCTCTCGCCTGGTTACTGAACTGCTCTCACTCAGAAAGGCCTTCTCCTACCACCCTATATAAAGGAGCTCCCTGCCGTCACGCCCACACACCTTGATTCTCTAGTCTGTATAACCCGGGGGTTAGGAATGTGGGCTCTGGAGCCCAGTGGGCTGGATTTGAATCCCAGCACCAAACTTACTGGCAGTGGGACCTTGGTCAAGCTAGGCAGTTTCCGTGCCTTGACTTTTCTTCTGTAAAATGGTGCTAATAATAGCAATAGGATTGTGATGAGAGTTGAATGAAATATTAAAGGCACATGAAGTGATAAGAGGACAGTCAATACACTATTAATGTTCAGTAAATATGAGTAGTTGTTATTGTTGATATCTGAGTCCCTTGTGGTTTCCTGCAGAACATTCACCTCCCTGTGCAATGATTGGTTTATTTACCCTTTGTTCCTCCAGAGGACTGTCAGCCCCATAGCGGCAGGTCCATGTCCGTCTTATTCAATGTGGATCCCTAGTGCCTTGAACTGTGCCTGGCACATAGCAGGCACTCATTTTTTTTGTAAATTACAATTTCCTGCTTGAATCCTGCTTGATTTCTGTCCCTCCTTTCAGTGCTTTCTGCACCATTTGGCCCTTGTTTGAGACTCTTTTTACTCAAAGTCTGGTCCATGCACCATCAGCTTTAGCAACACCTGGTAGCTTGCTAGAAATGCAGATTTTACAGGCTTCACCCAAGGCATATTGAATTAGAATCAACATTTTCACAAGATCTATAGGTGCTTTGTAGGCCCCTTAAGTTTTAAGAAGCATTGATTTAAATGAGTGTCTCAAGCAAGGAGACATGGTGGGTAGTAGAGCCAGATAGCACGTAACTCCAACTTTCCATTTTTTTCACAAAAATAAAATATTTCTTGTATTCTTCTCATACCTAAAAATTCAGGAGTAAACAGATTTTTTAAAGCAACTGCTTAGCTATTGAAAGAAGACACTGATATGGGAGTTAGGATCCAAGAATATTATATTAAATGGTTATATCATTATCTGTATGAACTTGGTTGTTTTCCTTAATTATAAAATGCTCACATTTACTCTTCAGGGCAGAGTCAAACTCACTATATTATTAAGGAATGACTTTGTTAGTTTAATTTTTTTTTTTTGAGGAAGATTATCCCTGAGCTAACTACTGCCCAATCCTCCTCTTTTTGCTGAGGAAGACTGGCTCTCAGCTAACATCCATGCCCATCTTCCTCTACTTTATACGTGGGACGCTTACCACAGCATGGCTTTTGCCAAGTGTTGCCATGTCCACACCCAGGATCTGAACCGGCAAACCCTGGCCACCGAGAAGTGGAACGTGTGCACTTAACCACTGCACCACCGGGCTGGCCCCAAACTTTAATTTTTATAAAAAAAATTTTCTTGGAAATAGGTTTATATAAATCAGGTTTTGGTCTACAGTCCCAATCCTTACACCTCCTGTTTTTTTAGGGCCTATGAGTTCAGAATGGTGTTTGTATTTTTATGTGGTTGAAAAAATTAAAGAAGACGGTTTTGTGACACATGTAAATGATATGAAATTCAAATTTCTATTGGAACTTAGTGACACCCATTTGTTCGGTTTTATCATTGATTGTTTTTGTGCTGTAATAGCAAAGTTGAGTAGTTGCAATAGAGACCATATAATACACAAAGGCAAACATAATTGCTATCCAGTTCTTTACAGAAAGTGTTCGCCAGCCTTTGATCTAAGTGACGTGCCTTTCCCTTCTCATAATGGTTATTAGAATAAAAAGACACAGTAGGTGCTTTGAAGTTAGGATATGCAAGAGAATATAACAGAAGGTATTATTGGCAGATGTGGTGACCTTTCACTGAAATGGAATATGTAATGTGAGAGACATCACCGCAGTCAACTTTGACTGACTTAGGAGCAAATCAGGTACCTGCGATAAGGAGTGATTGTTGCTGAGTTGTACCAGTAAGAGATACAACAAAGCAGAACGTGAATGATCTGGGTGGTCAGAGAATGCTAGTGAATGCTTTACAAAAGTAGGTACACTTATCACTATTGCCAATTGACAGATGAAGTAACTGAGGCACCAAGAAGGTAAGTAATTTGCCCAATCCTAGTATCTAGTAAGGGATTGAGCTGGAATTTGAACATAAGGTGTTGGCTCCATAGTCTCTGCTCTGAACCATGATCTTTGCTCTCTAAAGACTTCACAGCATGAAAAACTGTGATCAAGTATCCATTTTCTTGGTACATCCAACAGCCACGCTATTTTGTCTGTGCCTGAATAATATACTCCCTCCATGGAAACTATTGCACATATACACCCAAATTACTTCTGCCGATATCCCCAGTTCCTGAAAATTAATGCAGAGGACAGTTCCAAACATTTCCTGCCCAGGCTGGGAGGGCTCTGATTAAATCTCAGTGTTACTCTAATAAGGTAAAAAGAGGCTGGGAGTTGTGTCTCAGGGGAAAGGTGACCTCAGGAGTTACCATTGGATTACAGAGTTCATGGGAGGGTCTCAGGAGCAAGTGAATTCAGGATCTTGTGGTGTTTCAACCTGGGTGCTTATTTTCTTTCTGTGGGTTTAGTGGTTGGTGCTGCAGTACAGGGAGAGGGGGTGGCTCATTGTGTTCTTGGGGAAGCCAGACCCATGAAAGGCAGGGAAAGATGGTTAAAACAATGGACTTGTGGCAGGAAATATTAAGTCTGGAAGATAGTCATGTGACTGGTGTAAACAGGAGGAATTGCATCTGCTTCAACCAGAGCAGACAGCCCTTCCTCATGGACTCATTTTATCTCAAAGGGATCAAGAAGGAGGAAATAATGCAATGCTTTTCTGGATGTGAGATCTTTGATGGTAGAGACTTTGCTGGGAGGTTCTGAAAGGTCTCACTGAAGTGACATTTGCTGTATCCAGAATGACAAGTGCGAGCCACCCCTGCCTATGTCTGGGAACTGTTAGTGTGTCAAGGAGAAGGCACCCCTGGTGCAGAAACTCATAGGAAGTTGGTGCAGAAACTCATAGGAAGTTGGACCTCCTCTCAGAGGAGGCCAGAGAGGGGGCCATTGTGGCTGTAGGGAGCCTGAGAAGAGAGAGGTAGTAAGAACGGAGGGTGATGGGGCCAGACCGTGGGACATGGTTGACTGTTAGTTTCTGTTACTCTGTGACAACATTGCTACAAAAACTTTCACCTATAAAGTACAAATATATAACATCTGACAATTTCTGTGGGCGAGGCATCAGGCACGGCTTAGCAGAGGGCTCTGCCTCAAGTTCTCTATGAAGCAGGGGCTGCGGTCTCAACAGGGCTCAACTAGGGGAGGACTCCCACCCAAGATCACTGACATGGGTGTTGGGAGGATTCATCTGGACTGAGAGTCTGAGTTCTGGCTGTCTGTTGGCTGGGCACCCCCTCAGTTCTCTCCTATGGAGCCTCTACACAGGGCAACTGAAAGCATCAGCACTTGCTCTCCCAGTTCCAGAGATATGACAGAGAGAGAAGGAGAGCTGAAAACAGAAGGAGAGAGAGAAGGAGGGAACCCAAGAATGCCAGTAAGAGGGAAGTGACAGAGTTTTTGTAATAAAACTTGGAAGTGACTTCCCAGCACCTTGGCTGTGTTCTGTTGCTCAGAAGCCAGCTACTAACCACCTAGTGGTCACACAAGGACGTGCACTCCAGGAGGTAGGGAGCGCTGGGAGCCGTTTTGGAGGCTGCCCACCACATAGGCCAACATGAGGCACTTGGGTCTGATTCTAAGTAAAACAGGAGACCATGGAAGGTTTAGTGCCAGTGGATGACAAGACCTGAATTTCCTCTAATTTCAACCCATTAAAGGTACAGACCTGAAAATGAGGCCCAGAGCAGCAGTGCCTCCCAAGATCACACATCTGGAACCCAGGGAAGTTTTAGGTGGTATTCCAAGTTACATCTTACTCCTTCTTGTAATTCTTCCATCTCTAAGTCTGTGTATCAGACACATGTGACATCAGCCCACAGGTGTTATAGGCATTATGACATATGAACCTGAAAATGTCCCTAGGAAGCTATTTTTAGCACCATCTCCAATGTGCAGGTTGGGAAACTGGGGAGATCTTAAGAGGCACAGTGGCTTTTGCAGGACACAGAACTGATAGGAAAAAAAGAGATCTTAACTCAGCTGTGTCTCCTGAAAGTTGGGCTCTGGTTCCATTCCCAAGGAGGGGTGGGGAGGGCAGTGATGGGCATTTGTGTGCGGTGATGGAGATGACATGGGCAAAGAGGGAGAGCAGCCAACAGCTGGAAGGGGGCTTTGGGTGGGTCTGATTGATGGAAGGGGCTGAGGTAATGGGACCTTAAGAAGTGACCTCTCTTGCTTGGTGGCAGGCCCCAACAGAACTTAGACCTCCAGTTACCAAGCACCCACATTCTAGACACAGCCTCATGTCCAGCTTACTTGAGTGGAGACACTCAACACAACAGGATGTTCTCGTGTTGTGCCCCAATTTGCAGATTCTCTGGCTGCTGGAAAGCTGAGAATGAGAGCCTCTTCATCGCGGTGGACATTGGCTCAACTCTCACCTCTCATGCCTCGGGCCTTTTGGCAGGAAGAATACTCAAGTAACACAGGGCAGCACCCGGCAGGCCATGCCACATCAGGTCACAACTGTGATCCAAGCTGGGCAGCTCCAAACCTCTTGACCCTCATTGTGTGTGTTGGGGGGTGGACTTAGGGAAGGTGGGGATGGGGGGACCCACCCTGGGCAGGAGCAGGTAATTAGATGTTAGAATCCTGGTGGTGTATCGTGTTCATACCCCATATATTGGCTGGCAGGGTAGGAAGTTGAGTGCTGGGGAGCAAGCTCCTTTATCCGTATGTGAATCCCAAGCCCACCAGGTGTCATCACATTCCAGCCCTGGCTGGAGGTCTATGCAGATGCCCCTCTGAGCCTCATCTGTGGTGGGGGTTCCCCTGTGGTGAGGTCCAGGCAGGCCCCAGATACCTCCTGGCCTGACTCCCGGGCTCTGTCTTTGCAGAGCTGCACCGAGGAGATGGTCAAGGAGCTGGTGGTTGGTTTCAAATATGCCATCTCCCTGGACAGGGGCGGGTGCTCCAGCCCACCAACAATGACCAGGGCTGGGGTAAGGTGAGTGTGGGTGCAGAGGGGTCTTCACACCCAGCACCCTGAGATGACTGAGGCAGTACCAGAATCCAGACCCAAATCTGAGACTCCCCTGGGACCCTCCCCGGCTTTCCATACTAGCATGTCGCACAGTTCCATTCCCACAGGAGAGGGAGCTCCACTCTTCCCCACCAGCCACATAGGCAGGAAGAAAGTCACCTTGATCCCCGTGTTGGCTCCCAGTGATGCTACTGACCGTGTCCCTCCTCCTCTCACCCAGTTTGAAAATGAGTCCAGTATGAATTCCAATGAAGCCTGCAGGATGTATGCCCTCCAGGCAGGCCTGATGGAGACTCTGGGAGAGTCCATGGCACCAGCCTTGCTGGGGAGAAACATCTCAAATGTCACTACCTTCAGCTACCCAGCCTTCAAAACATCCCACCTGATCCTGAACCAGGTACTCACTAGGTGAGTTCCCACCCCCCTCAGCGCAGGGTGACTCTGCCCACTGTCAGCTCTATGTTTTGGGAATGTCACTGCATCTCTCTGAGCCTCAGTTTACTCCTTTGAAAAGCGGGGTGGGAGAGGATAAACGTCATGGGGTTCTTGGAGGGACTAATGGGATCAGCCATGGCGGGTGCTGACCTGGTGCCTGGCTCTGCAGATAGGGCTGTGGGGTGAGCTGTGGTTGTCCATCGTTATTATTGGTTCTTCCTCATGGAAAGTAGTCTGCCTCACCCGTCTCTGGGATGTGGTCTTTCTGATTTTGGCAAAGCACACGGACAGCACCCTGTCAAGGAGTTTGAGATTCCAGAGAGATGGTCCTGGTCCTTGTGCTTGGTGCAGCCAATTAAGGATGTCTGGGGAGCAGAGGGGCCCCAGGCCCACTCAGACATCTGGGATGGTTCTCGTTGGACTTCATTCATTCAACCGTGGATGCGAAGCACCTACTACATGCAGGACTTTTGGAGACAGTTAGCATAACTCAGTGAATGAAACAGACACAATTCCTGCAGCTCAGTTGTAATCTGAGAGTCAAACAGTCACATTACACAACATTCGCAGGTCCTGTCGTCCATCACACATCCCAAATGATGCCCTCGTCACCACCTTTACATCCGGAGGCATCTTCCATTATGACAACGAGGAGGACAGACCACAGGACCCCCTAATAAAGTGAGTGGTCTTTGGTCCAGAACAAGGGCTTCCTGTCTCTACAGAACAGGGTGGCGGAGAGTACAGCGGCTGTGGGGGGGCTGGCCTGGCATCACCCTACATCTCACACATCTTTCCATCCCCATGGGAAGGCTGAGGGCTGATGGCTTCCACTCCAGGAGGACAGGAGTCACAGAGCTGTAGATGGGTCCCAGGACCCCTGGGAACCAGAGTGGTGGCTGGGCTGGGTTGTCCCCAAGAGACCCATCCCCACCACAGTCCCATCTTGATCTGGCTCTACCTTCTCACCACCACCTTCTTCTTCTCCACATCCACCTCCCTCTTCTGAGCACCACCACCAGGCCAGAACAGGAGGTGTGTGAACAACCTGCTCAGTCAGCCTCAGTCCTCAGTCCAGCTGCCCAAGTACCTGGGGGGCTGCAGAGGGCCTTGTCGAGGCACTTTAGGAGGAGAGTGTCAGTGGGAAGAACAGACTCACAGCAGACTCTGTGTTCAACTTGCTGCATGAGCCGTCCTGCCACCACCAGGACAGCCACACAGGGGTCGGGACTGGGCTGGGGCTCTCCTCTGGATGGGAATGGGTGGGCATAGGGGCCCAGACCAAATAAGGGTATCTTCGGTGGGCAGTGTGGAGGGAAAGACCAGGCCTCTGAATCTCTTGCCCAATGCCTTCCCCCAGTGCCATCTCTTCTCTGGTGGGAACCTGCCTGGACCCAGTGCAGGATTTCTGGGAGCCCCTGCACCTCCCCTGCTTCAGGATGAAGCTGGCCCCTGTGCATGTGAGCTCGCCTGCCTCAGAGCTGGAGGGCCACGCCTCCCTCCTCCAAGTCCACCTAGAGGCTCCAGAGCCCGTGGAGGCAGAACTGGAAGGTGAGGGCCCTGCAGTCTGGGAAGACAATTTGCAGGGGGTTCATGGGCTGGGTTCCCTTAAAGGCAGTGGGGTCTTTGCTGTCTTTGGAAAGACTCAGGGGAAGTCAGCTACTTGAGTGAGACTTTTGCTTTATCCTGCTCCAGGACCATCTCCAGAGCTCCCACCAGCTCCAGAGCCAGAGCAAGAGCCAGCTCCAGCTCTAGTTCCACCACCTGTGCTAGAGCTGACAGCTGTGTCACCTCCATCAGTCCCACAAGTGCCAGAGCCAGGGCCAACATCAGCTCCAGCCCCAGCGCCAGCTCCTGAGCTGGATCCCGCTGGACCCTTGTCTCCAGGGAGAATTCTAACTCCGTCTGGAGAGAGAACATCAGAGCCGGATCCAGCCCCAGAGCCCACCTGCCCCCGGGCTGTGACCACCAAGAGCCTGCTATGGGAGCAGAAGCCTGACTCCTTGGGGTTCCTTCCCCAGCTGATTGCAGACCAGTTTACAGTGATGGATGCGGTGAGCAGGGGGGCTCTCAGGGCAGGTGGGGCTGGCCTTCCCCGTGCCATCAGCGGCCCAAGACCTGCCGTTTCCTGATCCAGAATCCCATGATGTAGTCCAATCCCAGCTTCCCCACTTACACACATGTGCCCTGGGCAACCTCTTAACTCCCAAGCCTTTGCTGTCCTAATGGGGACACTAGAGATGGACACTAAGAGCATCTGCCATGCAGAGCAGTTGTGAAGATGAATGAGGCGGAACAGAGAGGAAGTTGGGCAGAGTCTGGCCCTTTGGTGGGGGAGGGGAGGTCACTGAAGGGCTGTCAGGTCCTTGGGTCGATCGTCCATTTGCACAGGAGGCCTCAACAGCCTCAGAATTATTTAGGCACCTCATTTCTATATGACTACGCGAGAGACAGACAAACAAAGCAAATGGTCGTCACTGCCTCAAGGGATCGTGCATCTGAATGAGGAGTCAGACAGAATGGGTGGATAAGGCCCCTTGCGATGGTCAAGTATCAGCCGGGTTCTGGTGCCTGGAGTAGTGAGACTGGGCTGGGAGCGAATGCCACTTTCCTTCCCCACACTATTGGTCCTGGGTCATCCTGTGCTGGGTGCCCTCAGTGGACATAGACGAAACCCAGGGACCCCCACAAGCCCCAGGCCACATCCTCAGCTTCCTGAGCTCCACCTCTGAGCACTGACCCTGCCTGGGACTGTGGGCTGTGGACACTGAGCTGGGATGCGGCAGGGCTGGGTGACACTCCCTGCCTCCCCAGGGGCTGTTCAAGCAAGTGATGCCCCGCCACTGCCTGGACTCCATCTGGTCCCCGTGGGACAACAGGGGCAATGAGCATCTGGCACCCACCATCTGTGCCACCGTCACCCAGTTTATCACAGTGGTCAACTGTGTTGTCACCACCTGCCTGGGAGACCTGAGCATGACAGCCCAGGACAGGGCCAGGGTGGTGGAGCTCTGGATCCAGGGGGCCAGGGTAAGTTGTGGGCGGCCCAGGGAGCCCCTCTCTGGAGTCGTAAAACTGCCTCTTCTCCTTCCTCAGCTCTCAGGATTGAAGTCTGTGCTCTGAGCCCTTGCACAGTCCCCAGGCCCCTCCTGCCGGGGTGTCACTGACCTTGACTTCTGGTCCCAGCGTGGGAAGCTCACTTCTTCCTGGGCTCCTTCCTTGGGTTGAGCTCAAATCCTCCAGTCTGGGAGTGTTACTCATCAGGTCCCAGGGGTGCCCTCCCCGGGTTCCTCAGCATGTGTCTCATCCAGGACAGCAGAGTTTCCTGAGGGAACAGAAGCCAGAGGGAGCAGGGCTCCAGCTCCCCTCACCAGCTCACTCTCTTCCCTTCCCCAGGAGTGCCAAAGCGTGAGGAACTCTGCTTCACTCCGTGCCATCCTCTCTGCTCTGCAGAGCCACACCGTCCATCAGCTCAAAAAGACTTGGGTACACGTTTCCAGGCGGGTAGGCCTCTCTTCATGTGAGCATCACCTGGGTGGACCAGACAACCCCCATAGTGCTGGCATTGCCCCCTCAGTAAACTGGCACCTCCTGGGAGACAGTAAACGCTAGCGACAGAGACTCACTTGGTTGGCGGACTCTGAGTCTCTCTGGAAACTTAGGCCGGGGGCTTCTGCTTCAGGAATCAGTGTCCCTGAATGTCAGGTCCTGGGTGGAGCCAAACTGAAGATTTTCAAGTATTTGCTTTGCAGCAACAGAACTCTCCGTCCGACTGAAACCACGACTGTTGAAAACACATCTGCTCAGGAGTTACAGGAATGGAGCCCAGGTCACACCGGGAGAGCCCCCCCCCGCCCAGTCCCATGGAGACCCCAGGGCTCAGAGGACCCAGGGAAAACCCTCATCCAGGATGCTTGGATCTTCTGGGTTTTCGAAGAAATGGGATTTATCCCTAAACCACCACAAAGCTTTCCATTCTTTCCCCCCTCAGGAAGAGCTCTCAAAAATTTAAAAATTTGTGCATGAAGGACCAGCGAGTGAGCAGGAAGCTGCTCATGGAGGTGAGTGGAGGCTGCAGATCTGGAAGGAGGGGAGGGGAGAGGGGAGGGGGGACTGGGCCAGATGTGCTTGGTTTAGTTTTTCCCTTAAAGTTTCTCTGAGGAATAACCGTCTATATTGTTCTGATTGACAGGAAGAGGGGTGTTAGCTGCGTGGACGGGTGGGGGCAGTAGGGACAGGAGGCCTTGGTCATGGGACCCAGGGGTGTTGGCTGGACTGTTCCAGGAGGGAGAGGAGCCTGCAGGATGAGCAGGTCTCTGGCTTCCATGTGGGTCCATCAGCTGGGACTTGACTCTCTCCAGGCTGTGGGTGGATGGAGGGGGTGGGGACTCTTTTCTTCCTAAAGCAGCCCCGTCTGTCCTCAGGAAGCCAGGCCCCTGCTGCTCCTTCTGTCACCTCTGCACCTCAAAGGACAGGGCACCCTGCCTGCCCCAGGGATGGGCACTGCGGGGTCCCATGGATCAGGTGGACATGGGCACTGCCCAGCATGGGATGAATGGTGGATCTGGGACAGAACTGTGTGCTCTCTGGGACTCCCCACTGTGCCCTGATAGTGGTCACTGCTGACACACCCAGTGGGGTTCTCACCTGGTGCCTTGTTGGCAATGAGAGTAGCGGGGGATCCAATAGATACTTCATGGACCTTCTTGAGTGGATGTTAGAAGTTTCCAAGAACAAAAGGAAGCAAATATCACCATCAACCAGTGCCCTGGTCACCTCATAACTGTCACTCACATGTGGCACAAAGGGTCACCTTCCCGAGTGGATGAAAAGAAAGTTCTGTTCAGGGGAACATCCTGAGGGATCCTAGGGAGCTGAGGCCTTGATCCAATGGGGCTTGGACAGGCAGATGCCACTTGGACAGGTGCCCCGAGATAGCCTGCACCTCCCCATCCATCGCTCAGCCTGGCTGAGGGCCTGTTCATACTCTGAGAGTCCAGAGGACATGACTTTGTTCAGAGGTGTGTCTGTAGGTGGGGTGAAGGCAGGGGGACAGGGCCTCTGGCTGGGAGGGGAAGTGGTGTCTCCTTTGTGGGCCTCTGAGCAAGTCAAGCCCCTCTGTGAGCCTCGGTCTCCTCATGTGGGACGTGGAGGGAGGTGATCTGTGCTACAAGCCCCACAAATGGGGGATGAGGTTCAAGGGAGGAGAGGAATGTGCAGGAGCTGTGTGCCGCCTCCTCCTCGAGGGGTGAGGGGAGAGCAGTGATGACAGTCAGACGACACTGAGTCCTCAGGAGGCCCTGGGAGGCAGGTGGAGTTCTCCTCACACTTTCCAGATGAGGAGAGAGGCTGAGGGGCCTGGGCAGGCCGGAGGCCACAGAGGAGCGAGTGTTGGAGCTGGGACTGATCGAGAATCAGAGCACTCTGGAAAAGGGAGCAGCCACACACACCAGATGTCCAGGGTACAGGATCAGGGGCATGGGGGACATGTGGAAGGGAGTATGGCCTCCTTGGCCTCCTTGACCCTGTTCTTGACTTTGTAGGAAGTGGCCTCTCTTTGGAAGGCCCTGGAGATGGGCCCCTGGGGAGCCCAGGAGAGGCAGCAGCAGCAGGTGAGGGTGGATGTGGGGGAGGGTTCCATGTGTCAGAGGAGAGGGGCCTCTACCCTCAAGCTCGAGGCCTCCACCAAGAGAGGGGCCCCTCCTCCTCCAGCCCAGCTCCTGGCCACTCAGAGCCTGAACCGGCTGCATTAGAAGTGAGCAGGAGGAGGCCTGGCAGGGCTGGGCCCAGGAGGGACTTCGGGTGGGGAGGGGCAGGGACCATATTCCCTGGGATTTGGCAAAAGCCGACCCTGGGAGGTGACGGGGGAGATTGATGTTCCTGGAGGGGGCTCCTGGGGGAGATTGTTGAGGGTCCTGGGCTGCTCTATGTGGGAGTCTGGCATAGGCAGGAGGCTGGGGTGAGGGTTTTGGGGGAGATTTTATGGTGGCACTTGACAGCCTCGCCTCATCCCCCCTCCCATCCTGCTGGCACAGGGTATCGTTCCCTTCCTGGGCGCATTCCTCGATTACCTGCAGCTGCTGGACACTGAGATAGAGGATTATCTGCAGGTGAGTGAGCCTGGAGTGGGGAACAGGGAGTAGGATCCAGAGGTTTGGGAGGCTAGAGCCCCGCCCTGGGACCTGAGCTCTCAGCACTTGGCAAAGCTCCTCTCCTGAGAGCCTCCTGGCCGCCCCTGGGGCTGGGGCCTCAGGCACATCTTAGGGATGGGGGAAGGAAGGCTCTGCATAAGCCCCCTCCAGGCTCCCTGGGCTGGGGGAGCTCAGAGCTGCCTGACTGCAGAGCTGCAGGAGGTGGTGTCAGAGCTGGACTGAGCCTCTCCCTCAGGCCCTGCCCCTGGGGGGGTGAAGTCAGCCCCTGAAGGTCAGGAAGCACATCTGTGGTCCAGCTGTCCCTCCCTGCACGAGGCCTCAGTCTCCCTGTCTGTCATCAGAGAGGGTTGGGCTGCAGAGTCTCTGGCCTCAGGGAGCCTGGCCCAGGTTCAGGTTCCCCTTGTGGCAGTGTCTGCCCTCTGCTGGGCCCTGGCAGTCCTGCAACCTGGGAAGGGGTGGGCTGGGGGCTAGTCATGGGCCAAGGGGGCTGTTTCTGATGGACATTGGCTGTCTGCCTTCCAGGGAAATAGGGTGAACTTCCAGAAATAGAGTGAGGTGAGCAGCTGTGCCCTCAATGTGGGGAGGGTGGGACTGTGGCAGTCAGAGATGTCCCCTGCAAGACTTTCTCTGGCCTCATCCCTTGGGTCTTATCTTTATTAGGAGAGTTAGATACACACAGCTGGGATCCCATCACATTGGATCCTGGAATTAGTTCCTGGATGAGGAACTAGTTCAACTCAACTGTGAGAACAGGCAAGTCCTGAATGTGATGCGGGGTCGGTGAGCTGAGAAGACGAAAGAAAGATTTCTTAGACTCTTAAGATCTGGCAGTAGTGCTCTTTTATTTAGAGAATAGAATAGCATGGGGACAGGACCCATGGGCAGTCAGAGCTTCTGCTGCCGCCGCTTCTGCTGCCCCCGCTGGCATGGGGACAGGACCCACGGGCAGTCAGAGCTCCTGCTGCTGCCCCGAGTTGAGGGTTAGGGCTAATTTTATAAGGCATGGGTATGTGAATCATTTCTTTAGAAGACAAAGGAAAAAACATGAAAAAAAGTTAAAATGGTATCAGTGCAGGTGGGGTCTGGTCGTTGGGTGATCCCATGACTTTTAGACAAGAATCAAATCGGATTAAGTAAAGGTCAGAAGCCACCACCCTAAATCAGTTACATGAGATTGCCAGACAGCAACCAACTTAAGTTCTTGCCTTCCCCATTAAGAGTTTCTAGGGATAAGGTCATCTCTCTTCTTCTTCCTGGTACAGAGAGGGAGGCACCTTTTACAGGTGGAGATTTACCTTACAAATGTAAATGTGTCCCAACAAGGGCAAGTTCCATTCCTCAGAGCCTCCTTCCCTGTCCCAGTTTATCAAAAGCAATCAGCCCCAAAACAATCCCGATGCCAAAGAGACATAGCTTGGGGTGGCCAATTTCAGGTCCCTACAAGGTCATCCCCCTTCCTTCACAATTGCAAATGTCTCTCAAAAGGGCAAGCAAAATTCCAGTCCTCGGAGCCTGCTTCTCATCTGCAGTTTTAAAAGTAACTAGCCTAAAGATCCTCATCATAAACCGTTTTAAAATTAAGCAGCCTAAAAATCCTCATCAAATGGAGTGGCCGGAAAGGAGAGTTCCCAGTGAGCAAAGACCCCAGACCAGCCCCTCAATCCCCACAAGCCCCCGACAGGGTTCCCCACCCAGGCCCCATCTGCATCCTGTCCTTCCTCCCAGAAATTCCAGGTCATTAAAGAGATCCAGCTGCTCCAGGAGGCTGCCAATGAATGCCACCTGCAGCCCGAGGAGCAATTTGGGGCCTGGTTCCAGGCCATGGAGCCCCTCCGTGAGGATGAGAGGTGAGGGCTCAGGAGCTGGGTGAGGGCAGGGCAGACTCTCTCTGACGGTCAGCTCCGGACCATGTGCCCACGGCTCCCTGATCAGCCCCAGACCTTGTTGCTTGGTGACCCCTGGGGAACCAAGACTCCAGCTGCTGGCAGGCTCTGGGAGGGACACCTGAGGTGTGGCTCCTGGTAGCTCACAGGTCCACTCTGTCCTGTAACTGCAGCCTGTCCTGCCAGCTGGAGCCCCCAGACCTGAAGGTGAGCAAAATGTGAGGCTTCTTCAGGACCAAGAAGAACCGGCCATGCTCAAGATTGGGGCTGAGTGAGTGTCGGGAGCAGCAGGGACTGAATCCAGGGGCTCATAAAGCTTTGGGCTCAGTCTGTGCCTGGATCCCAGTTCCCCTGCTGACCAGTCCTATGACAGGCCACTCCCTTCTCTTTGCTGGGACTCAGTTGCCAGCTATGAAATGGGTGATGCTTTATGGTACTGATGAGGATTTTTAGGCTGGTTAATTTTAAAACGGTTTATGATGAGGATTTTTACGCTGGTTACTTTTAAAACTACAGATGAGAAGCAGGCTCTGAGGAGTGGAATTTGCTTGCCCCTTTGTTGGGAAACATTTACATTTCTAAGGGAAATCTCTATCTGTAAAGATGCCTCCCTCTCTGTGCCAGGAAGAAGGGGGATGGCCTTATCTCTAGAAACTCTTAATGCCAGAGGCAAGAACTTAAGTTGGTTACTGTCTGGCAACCTCATGTAACTGACCCCCGCCCCCCCCCCCCCATCCTCCTTTGTCTTTAGCTGAGGATAATATTTAAGTGGTGACTTCTGCCATTTACTCAATCCAGTTTGATTCTTATCTAAAAGTTGTGGGACCGCCAAATGGCCAGACCCTACAGGCAATGATACCATTTTTAACTTTTTTACATATTCTTTCCTTTGTCTTGTAAAGAGATAACTCACATACCTATGCCTTAAATTTAGCCTTACTCTCCACCCAACTTTGCAGCAGAAGCAGCAGCAGAAGCGGCAGCAGCAACATGCCGGCAGCAGCTCTGCCTGCCCATGGGTCCTGTCCTCATGCCAGCGGCAGCAGCAGCAGCTCCCCATGCCAGCAGCATCTCTGACTGCCCGTGGGTCCTGTCCCTATGCTATTCTGTTCTCTAAATAAAAGAGCACTACTGCCAGATCTTAAGAGTCTAAGAAATCTTTCTTTCGACTCCTCGGCTCACCGACCCCGCATCGTTTCCTCAATGTCAGGGACAAATGGGGTGCTGTGGATGCACTGAGCACTCAGCACCGGGTTTGGAGCACAGAGTGCAGTGGGGGCAGGGAGGTGGGCCATGAATCTCAGGGAGGGACCCCAAAATAGCCTGTTTCTTCTATTCAGCTGCCATGCCCTTCTCAGGGAACTGTCACACTCTGGAGACTACCACAAGCTCAGACTCTTCAGGCGCAGGGACATGGCTGGGACACTTGGGGTGCACCAGGCCAGCTCTTCCCATCCTGATGTGAAGGAGGACATTGTAAGGATTTTCCTGGTTTCCCCTAAATCTGAATGGGGAAGGAATGACCCCCCTCCAACTCCCTGACATCTTTACCCCAGTGTCTATTGACCTATTGGGGAGAAGGCATATTATCACTTTAATACTGAATGTTCCATTTGAATGTTTATTAAATTCCTGTTTCTGTTATAGCCTGGGAGTTGTGGTGTGGTTCACCTCCTGTGCTCATGTAAACGAGACACAGAACCTCACCTTCCTCCTTGAATTAAGAACTGGTGCATGGTCACAGCTCATTGTATGTGAGAGAAGGGAGGAAGGCCAGCCCCTGTCCCTGGCTAGTTAAGGACCGCCCCCCCCCCCCCCCATGTCCCCATTCCTCAGAGGACAGGTTCGTTTCAGTGTGGTTCCCCTGGGCCAGGAGCAGAGACAGCCCCTCAGATCCCCCTGGATTTAGAGGCTGGAGGGACTTTCCCAGCAGAGCAACCAGCACAGAAATGTGGGTCTTTCAGATGGCACTTGCCAGGACCATGTCCTGCCCCAGGACAGTGGCTGCCTTTCTACAGCTTTCGAAGAAGAAGGAATGTTTTCTGCTTCTCTTGTGGAGCTTTCTTTTGATCAATTACTGGAACATGTAGTTTTGTAATCAATCTCTGGAAATGCATCAACACTAAATGGGGAAAAAAATGTAAAAAGCTAAAGTGTTGCATGTGGAAAGGACAAGACCAGAGGAAGACCATTTGCAGACGGACTAAGGGCAGGCAGGACATCCCTCCACAGGCCGCCTCTAAGGGCTCCCTGTTCATGCTTTACCTGGATTGGACTCCTCCCAGGATCCTGGTCCATGAACTTGCAGGTCCTTTTCCTGCTTGTTTCCTATCCAGAGGGAAAGATTTGTGATGCAGCTTTTAAAGCTACAACAGGGCTTTGTTCCATAAGCTTGACTGCTCCCTGTGAACTAGATTTCCAGCATCCCTCACTTCCTTCTACAATTCTTTTTGGGCAGAAATTCCCTAAGGCCCCAGCCTCTCTGTCAGGTACATCGTGGCCATTCTTCCCTGGCCGGGCCTGATGGATCAGGGGTGAGCTTTGGTTTGCCTGGAAAATGGACCTTCATCCTGGCCGCTGCATGATCCACACTCTCCCTAGCTGCCCAGGGTGACGTCTCAGCCCATGTGGTTCTGAGGTTCATGGTCTCGGACAATCACTAATTTACACACTGAGTCGTGTTGTTACCAACTTGAACTAAAGGGCCAGCTGGCCCTGATCCTATACAGCGTGTAGCCCCCAGGATGGCTGTGTTCTTTTTCTCCAGTCTTGTGCTGTGGTTATGTGGTTATGTGTTATGGGGATGGCAAAGTTTCCTGTTGGGAGTTTTGAAAGATGAGGCATGAGAGGAGCAGGGATGGGGTCCAGCAGGGGAATGTCACCAAACTGATGAATGTGGGCCTACACAGACACAACCTCACCAATTAAAATACTGAAATGTTTCCCATATGGCTAGTGAAGAGATGCTGCTCTGAGCTCACACTGAGAACATACCCCATGACCAGGAGCTAAAGGGTTACCACCTGGCATTTTGAACATCATGCCCTGGAAACACCCTGTAAGACAAGGGCCACATGCATTCCTTGGAACCTCTTCCTCCTCCTTTCTGAAGGCTGCTAGTGTCACCCAGGGAGCCCTTTTCAGTTCAGCCAGAAGCCGAGTATAAATCCTGCTTCCCACAGCCATCCAGGAAAGAAAGAGTTCACATTATTGGTGTAGACACATAAACACACGCATATCCCACCCGATGCCCAAGATGTATGGACTACAGGGATGAAAAGTGACTTCAGAAACAGGTCAACCAATTGCAGAGGAAGGGTTTTCTTAAGATCCTGACTCAAATAAAATGTAAAACCAAGAAACAAGCTAGAGAAAACTAGTAGACTTTGGATACTGACTAGATAGTTGATTATAAGAATAACATTTTTATTTTTGTGTGTGATAACTTTGTTTTGTTTGTGTTGCAAAAATCTCTTCGGTAAGAGAAATGGATCTATTTCCACCTGAAAGGAGGTGCTTCCAGCATCGACGGATGGCTAATTCTGGGGGGGTGGGAGTGAGGATAAACAAAGCCTGATGGGTTATGAATTGACAACCTTTGAAGCAAGTGACGGGTTCACAGAGGTTGATTTTTCTCTTCTCTGAAATTTGGAGACTTTTGAAAACTTTCAGAAGACAGTTTTAAGAAAAAGTATAATTGCTGTTCACACTACAATATTAAAAATGAAAACACTGAAAATATGAAGGAATCCTTCTCCTTCTTGACCTAGAGAAGCTCTCTCTCAGTCTGGCTTTTGTGAATGATCTGATGATGCCAGAGATTATTCCTTTATCACATGTTTATGGAGTAATTACTATGTGCTCTGTGCTGTGTGCAAGGTGAATGCCTTCCACAACTCTGGATCTACTGTGGGAATGAAGGCACTGAGCCAGCTGCCAAGGTTCTCTAAGTGGCAAATAATGCCCCACGGGGTATGGTCATCACTAAGATTCCAAAA